TCAGGTAAACGCCCCGTGAACGCAGAGCTCCAGACGGGAAACGCCAGGGGTGCCCCGCAGAGGCCAAGGGACAAACAGACGCTGGTACATCATACAGTGGGATGCTAGCCAGATGGCAGAACCAACACGGGACACGACTCTACTTCCATGGACTCCGAAACAGGCGACCCTGACCTCTGGGGCCAGCAGGGGGCGGGGGGTGGGGGGAGGACCCTTCCCAGGGAGGCAGTGGTTGGAGGGAGGGGTGCTGGCAAGGCCATGCTCCCTAACTTGGGAGCCAGGGACATGTGCTTGTTCACTTGATGAAAATTCATCAAGACTGTCCATCTAAGCCCTGGCCGTTTTAGCTCAGTGGATAGAGCATTGGCCTGCAGACTGAGGCGTCCCGGGTTCAATTCCAATCAAGGGCACATGCCTGGTTGTGGGCTCGACTCCTAGTAGGGGGTGTGCAGGAGGCAGCTGATCAATGACTCTCATCATTGATGTTTCTCTTTTTCCTTTTCCCTTCCTCTCTGAAATCAATAAAAATGTGTTTTTTTAAAAAAGACTGCATCTAAAATTGTGCACTTTTTTGTTTGCAATTTATATATAAAAGCCTAAGCAACCATTCGACCATTCAACTGGTAGCTATGATGCACACTGACCACCAGGGGGCAGATGCTCAATGCACAGGCATGGAAACGGAACAGACTGATGAATCTCAGAGGAAAGTGGGGAGGGAGGAGGGTGGGAAGAGATTAACCAAAGATCTTACATGCATACTAGAGGCCCATTCATGCACTGGTGGGGTCCCTCAGCCTGGCCTGCACCCTCTCGCAATCCAGGACCCCTTGGGGGATGTCGGAGAGTCGGTTTCAGCCCGATCCCCACAGGCCAGGCTGAGGGACCCCACCGGTGCACAAATCCTCTAGTATCTCAATAAAATGTTAATTTTTTTTAAAGTACCAAAACTCCTAAAATCAACCAAACCAAGAAATAAACTTGCACCCCTCCAAACTGCCCACTTGCTTCCCACTATGCTCCAGCCAGGGGCTCCCCTGGGAGGAGACGCTGTTAACTCGGCCAGGCCGTCGGGACAGGTGACCGGTCCGTCCATGGCGCCCAGGTAGCCTCCACCACTGAGCTTTGGGCTCTTGCTGAGCAAGCCAGCCTCACTGTGTGGAAATGCTCTGCCAGGGGCCTTGTGCCCCCTCCCCCCCAAGGCCCACACGCAAGTCCGTGGGCAGCCACGGTGGCATAAAGGCTGCAGTACGAGACCTGCACATCTCCGCCAGCCAACTACACCACCCAGGATGCAGTTCTGTGCCAGGCAAGTCGCAGTGCACCCTGGGACACGTAGTCCTCCCAGAAACACACAGGCTGGCCAGCCACCAGGGATGCAATACCCAGATACAGATGTTGCCCCGGGGGTGCGAGGAGCCGCCAGCCGGGCCTCCCACGACTGCCTGGCCTGCACACCACCAGCTCCTGCCAACATGCCCGCCAGCCTCATCAGACGGGCTCTGGCCCAGAAAGGCTGGAGGGCTGGAGGCGGGGGATCCAAAATCTCCAGATTAAAACTTCTTCTTTCATCTACACGACACTAAGTATGGAAAATGCAACGTGTCTGTTACTCTAAAATTAAACAGCTGGGGCCCGTTTCACCTCCCAGAGGTCCATCTTATTTAAGTTTTCTACCTATGTGACGGTATCATGTAGGACGCCCCACCCCACCCCAGGCTGTCTCCAGTGGGCAGGGGGCAGCGACCCCCCCCCTCGGCCTGTTTATTCGGCGATGATTTCAGCAGCAGCTAAATGGAGCCACAGATCAGGAGTGGTGGCTTGCCCTCGTGGGGAGTTTCCTATTGGCATGATCCTGATGCTTTAATATTTCAGATTTTTTATCTGCCGCTGGCGAGCTGACGTGTTCAACCTGGCGAACTCTGTAACCACCTGCAGCCGGCGCCCCGCCTCGTTCCACGGCCTCGGGCTGGACGTGCCCGCTTCTGGATGCAAGAGCAGGAGGCTCGGAGTTTTTTAAAACAGCAACAAAAGCAGCGCCGGGCGACCCCTCGGTCACGGTCCATTCTGGACGATCACTTTGTTCGGCTGCACCTTGCGCTCGGGCCGGAGCTACTGAGTGCGCGGACCTCGCTGCCGACGCCGAGACCGCGAACT